GTGTGTATTGTAATTTAATTTCGTATTCTTATTCGTATTTTATTTGTGGTTTTAAATACATATGCCATGTTGATTATTGGAATAAATATATGTACTAAATTTTCATGAGTATCAAAATTAAATTTCAAGATCAAACAGATATTTGAAAATAAATTTGGAGCTAGAAACCCCGCTCAAACGTTTGCATAAGATGAACATAATATAATTTCGGATAAAGCAATCCACCATAGACAAGACGAAACTATGTTAAAGGTTCCAAGGTCGAAGGACAAAAGTCTCTCGATCGAGAGAGAGAGAGAGATTTGGCAATAACGTCTTTCATTGACGATTTCTACTCCAGAATTTAGGTGTTCGTTCTTGAAAATCAGGGGGACGTTGGTACACAATCGATGCAGCTTTAATCAAAATGCCAGCAGTTATAGCCCATATTATATACTTCTCATTCTCTGTTTCATGATCAAAGAAATGAAGAACATATTCATCTCCCATGTATTCACGTTCTTGTTCTCGTCGATTCTCATCCTAAATCAACCAATATGTATTCGTAAGAGCAACTGGAGACGAAACACGTAAACAAGAGAGGGAGTTTATAGACTTACTAACCTTGAGAAACATCTCTAGAGGTGCATCAAATAGTGATGCCACTTCTGCAGTATTTATCAACGGGTTGAATGTGTTCCGGTCCCAAAGTATGCCCACGACAGGAATCACCGTAATTCCCTTCTGAGGAAAAACAAAACACCGATTTGAGCACAGATCATATAAATGTTAATAGGGCGAAATTTTTAACAAGACAGTTAAGACAGAACAGATTTCAAAAGGTAAGCATCAATGCAGTAGAACTGTACTATTGAGAATTAACCTTCCACGAAATGAAACGGAAGCATTTGAAACTTGCAACCCGATACTTCAGTTAAGACTCTTCTTTTTACTTCTCTTGAGGTAAACAAGACTTTGGCTGCAGTGTCGATTGTGTGATGGACATGAGTATGATAAAAAGCTACATTGCTCAGACCCTCCAAAAGTATTGCCCTATTCGTGTTGGATACTTCAAAACTACAAACTTTTGGAGGATCCAACGCATACCAGTTGTATTTTCAAACAGTCCGAGCAACATAGATAAAAAGTTCCATTACTCGTTCTTTGTTGGTTTTCCAACATAAAACCTAAAATGTCATGTTTAATTTTGCACAGTGCTCTCTCAACAACTGATTAATTAGTCCCGTTGAATTACTATTGTTGTTCGTACTGTTCTTGGCATATAAATGTTCCATGAAATTTGATCCCTTCAACTTTGATACAAAAGAGACGGGCTTGTATTATCAACTATGTCCCTACTTGTCATTAATATTTAACGAGCTAAGAAACCTTAAAAGGGCATGAACACAGAATAATGTAAGACCTCAAATGAAGACAAATGCATTACCTTGTTGGTAAAGGATTCAAGAACAGTAACAACATCTACAAGTGAACGGTCTAATCCGATCTCCTCCTCAGCCTCCCTCAATGCTGTCTCAACGTTATCGGCATCCCCTTCTTCTACTTTCCCACCAGGCAAAGCAACTTCACCTAAAAACATTAAAGTAAGAGGTTGAAAGATTTGTGTCTTTAAAGTTACAAGTTCGAGCCCTGAGCGAGGAGAAGGGTATCCTCAGGTATTGAATGTTACAAAAAGGGGTTAATTAGCTCAATTAGCAAAAGTTTCATTTACTTTCTTAAACTTCGTGTCAAATCAAAACCAGACAAACAATCTGAGACGACACTAAAACCTATAGTCTCACATTTCTATAACATCATATCATTAAGGGGTTGTTTGGTAGCTGGTTAGAGTTATGCAAGTATCAATAACAACGTAGGAATTAGTTATTAGCAAATCTATATACATTACATGAATAACTTACGTCTTAACCAGCTATTACCTATACATAATTTAATACTTACACGACTCACATCTAAACCAGCTACCAAACAATTCCTAAAGGGGTAGAGTTAAAAGAGCTTCCAAATAGAAAAATGATCCCAAATTAACATTATTCATAAACTTCAAATCATGAATCCGTCCCTGAATACTACGATACCAAGTGAACACCATTGTACAAATTTAACTTCAATAAATCAAATAGAAACCTGAGTGTGAAGAAAGTGTTGAAGCTCTTTTGGTGAGGATTACACGAAGATGGCCTTGTGGGTCTTCAAATAGACACACCAAAACTGCAGCCCTGTTTGATTTAGGTATTGGGTTTATCCCCAATTCTTGATTTTTGGGAACAAATTCTTGAATTTTCGAAATTTGGGTACTTATAGAGTTATAAAGACGAAGTCTTTCAGCTAACTTCACAAGGCTCTCTGATCTGTTAGATGCCATTTGGGCACTGAGAAGGAGAAAGAAGAAAACGGAAAATGTATTGTTTTAAAAGCTTATAAAAAGCAGCTCATGAATATGTAATCAGGGTTATGAATTCGAAAAATTATACTGTTTAATGTGGTTAAAAATAGACATAATACACGTATTGGACTCTAAATTTGGGTACAAATTTTAACTTTGATCTCCAACTTTTATAATGTACAAATAGACACTTAAGTATTCAATTTTTATATAAATAAACACATGAGTCCTACGTGGCACAATACACGTAAGACACCACATAGGACAAAAATGACATGTAGGACAAGTGTGTCTATTTGTTCAATTTTATACAAGTTTAAGTGTCTACTTGTGCACACCCAAAGTTGAAGGGCATAAATGTGATTCGAAGCTAAGTTAAAGGACATATTTATGTATTATGCCTTATAAATAATGTATACCTCATTCGACTTTTTGTGTGTTTTCTTAGTCATATTTTTTTTAAAAAAAAAAAGAGATCTGATTTCATTGCGGGTAATCCATCTTTTTTTATTATTTTTCTAATTAATTTTGATTTGATCATTTGATATTTAAAGATTATTGATTCAATTAATTTAGATTTATATCAAATAAATTTAATTAGAGATAAAACACTTCAAACTCAAATTTTTAAATAAAAATTATAAATCTCAACTATTTTATCATAATTTCTTGATAAGAAATAGTATGAAGGTTTATACTTCATTTGAATTATATTCTTTTGAGTATATTAAAAAGCTTATAAGTTATATATGTTTATATTTACATTAAAAATAGAGACGATTTCAAAATTTAAAATTCATAATTTCACCATTAAAATACAAACATGAATTAGGACAAAAAGATTATCTCCAATTAATTAGGTGATGGCAGATGCTGTCATTTATTGCTTGGTTGGTTGGTTGGCTGGCACACCCTTTATGGCTAAGTAGCCTCACCAGAAATGAAATCAATTCTTGTTGATATAAAGTAGTAACTACTTTACTTTTCTAATTTTTAATCCGAAATCACGAATTTTAATTTTTTCGATTCATATATAATGAAGCGTTACCGTGAGATATAAGGTAAATTAGAAAAGTTGATACCTAACAAGAAAGCCAAGGAGGTTGGGAAAGTATCCCACCTTTTACATGGCTAAAGTAACCGCACGAGTACTAATTTGATTAGCTTTTTTTTTAGCCTTTGAGATTTTATATATCAGCTTCAGAAGATTCAATTGGATCATTTTTGGAACAGAAGAATAAGGAAGCAAAGGTAGAATATGTTCTGAAACTCCACCACTTAAACTGAACAAAAAAAAGGCTCAAGATACAGAAATCGTCTTTGATGGAAGCGTTTTCCTCCAAAGTGGAGCTTTCCAAGGCAAATCGGAATTAACACTGAATGAAGAAGACTACTCACTTTGCCCCAATTTATGTAACATTTTTATTTTTCGAGAATCAAACCGTTTAAGTTTGATCAAAAAATTTTACGCACAAAATCTTCAATTTTTTTCAAATGAACTAAAAAAATTTCATATAAAACGACATAATACATAAATATGCCCTTCAACTTGGCTTCGAATTACATTTATGCACTTCAACTTTGGGTGCGCACAAGTAGACTTTTTTGTCATGGTGTCTTACGTATATTGTGCCATGTAGGACTCATATGTTTATTTATTTAAAACTTGGATAGTTAAAGTATTTATTTGTGCATTATGAAAGTTGGAGGTCAAAGTTAAAATTGAAAGTCAAGTTTAGGGTCCAATATATGTATTATGTCATTT